TGGTCTCTTTTTCATTTCCTCTCTCTCCAGCTCGTTTGAGATTTTCTACCCACCCACAAGCTGTGTTCATGTATTTGGACAGTTGAGTGTACATGTTGCATTTTATCTGCATCTCTTTTGTGTGTCTTCTCATTGTTTTATAACACATAAATGCACCCAAGCTGTGAGCGCTTATACAAGTTAGACCGTGCCATCCACTGTGTCATAACACTGCAATGTACTAGATATTGGCTCTCTGTCATATGTCATGTTTGGTATTTCCTCTGTGTGTACATAGCTGGTGAATTGGAGTTAAAGGTTGAGTGTGTACGTTTTGTGCCACTAGGGGCACCAAGCAAAATTGTTGAAATAGAAATATTGCTTCCAAACAGGTTTCCCAAACACTCCATCCTGTCCCCTGTCTGCTAGTACTCACATTATTTGGAAAAAATTGCAAATTATGTAAAAGGGTTAGAAGTACCATATATTTGAAGTTTATTGCAGACTATTTAAATGTATGCAAATATATAAGTTCTTTCAGAGTGTGATGAGACTATACACATCGTTACATCATGCGCAATGCTTTATGGGAGTGAGTGGTTACTGTTGAGCTCTGTTCCCCAGATTCCTGTTTCCATGGCAACAATTACTTCTCTGGTTGGTGGATCTCCTTCAGAATTGTGGGTATTGTATTTTCCATGGAATTCCACAATAATAATAGTTATAATAAAAATAATACAAATATTTAAGTTGGCTTGTAAACATATGTCATCACAAAAAAAGCTTGAACTTGCACTAATTTTCTGCATGGAGTAATTTATTTTTTGTGACAGTTTTTCAGTTTAAACCATAGAAAGAACCGTGGGTATAAAACAGGTACGGACCCATCTGATAATACAAATGTTACTTGCTTTAAATTAATACAGCCTGCAGCTCAATGCATACTTCACTCACCTTAATACAAAATACAGTCTATGCAAATTTCATTTGCTTTTATACTTTCATTTACTTTTAGTGATTGGGTGATGTAGGAAAAGATAACTGTGTGATGACAATAATAGAAATGTACTGTTAGTAATAATAGCAAAGCTGTTTCTAATAAAATCATGCTAGGCAGGTGTAGTATAAATATATATTAATAAACACATTCTCATTTTGTCAGTAATTTATTTTCATATCACTCCTGTTTGCTTGCTTGTTTGCTACCTTTATGGCTTTAATATGTTGTATTTTGTACTCCGAGACCCATGGTAACAGCTCCAGAGACAGCTGTTTATCTAGAATGCTGGCTTCCAGACACATGACCCAAAAGATTATGTCTTATTAGTCAGTGTTTTTTCTTCCCTCACTGGAAGAAACTTGGCAGGAGTGAGAAGAAATGGGCTTCTGGGGCCTTTTAATGGCAATAATAAGAAATATCTTAAAATAAAAAGTAAAAAATTACAGTGCTCCAAATGTCATGTTTTGTGGCAGGAACATTTCTTTATAATGCTGCTTGAGTTAATGTTGTTTTTCAAATCAAATACCTCCATTATAATTCATCCAATGTTGCAGCTAACTTTTAGAGGAAAAAATACCTGCCGCAGTCTCAAGTGGAGACAGATTTCATGGGCAGCAGACAGGTGGCTCAGTCTGGGCTTAAATTAAGTTGTCTTTCCTGCCTCATGTTCCTGGGTCTGTAATGGGCCTGTGATGGGTTCATTTGGCCTGCTGAGGGCTCAGGCAGTAAGGGTCCATTTAGTTGGCTCAGTCCTTACTGTAATTAAAGGGTTCCATTATACAAGAGTGGAGAATCAAGTGGAAAATTATGTTCTTCCGGCAGCTAAACTCAGTATGAGGAAGCAGTCAGCCTACTTGTTCATAAGGGAGAATATACATCTAGAGACATTAAAAGCAAGAGATGTACTGTACCACATACATATAAAAATAATTAAAGAAATTGCTCAGTATGGCAGCTCTAGGAATAGAAGTTGTGCATTTCAGTTGACTGAAATGCATGCACAGTTAAAATATATATGCACAGTTGACAAAAAAATTGTCTGCACTGACATGCCTCAAAAGGATTTTGTTAGCATGTCGCTAAACTAATGGCAACACTGTGTCTGATCTTTTCTCTCTGCAGCAACTGATGCGATCTTCAGTTTTCCACGTTCAATCTCAGTATGGTGGCCGTTGACGTGATTGTAGCTGCTAGCAATTACCACAGGGGCGAGGACCATAAACTCACCAATGACGAGTTCTACCTGGCTGAGGTAAGACCTGTCAAAATCGATTCTTAGAAACTTGTTGATTTTTTAAATGTCTTTTTTAATGTGTAGCAATTTCACAAGAACACAATGAGCTTTTGCTGAAACACGATGATTATTACCAGTTGTTAAATATGATATATTCAGATTTAATTTGAGATGAGAAGCACATCTGTTGTTTAAAGGTATAGTTCACCCAAAAATGAAAATTCTGTCATTAATTACTCGCCCTCATGTTGTTCCAAACCCGTAAGACCTTCGTAAGATCTTCAAAGGGTCAGAAAGCACTCGGATTTCATCAAAAATATCTTAATTTGTGTTCTGAAGATGAACACATTTCTTACGGGTTTGGAACTACATGAAGGTGAGTAATTAATGACAGAATTTTCATTTTTGGGTGAACTATCCGTTTAAGTTAAAATTCAAGTTTATTGTCATTCCACTATATGTGGGATAGAAATGTTGTGCCGCACAAGACCACGGTGCTACATATAGGCGGACATATAATCATATAAAACAGAAATATATAATTTACGTATACCTATAAAACCAATGTAAACATATAACCTATATAAAACTACACATAGCTAACTGTAGATAAAATACCATGTAATAAAATGCCATACAGTTTATTTTATTTTATGTCCAATTTTTGGGGTAAATTGAACAGAGCTAGAAATATAGAGCTGAAAATTATATACAAAAATTTGTAATTCCTTATAATTTTTAATTAAGATTTTATCTGGGACACAGCATATATCTGATGCCTAAAATGGATGCCCCAGATGTTACTAGTCACGCCCTGATCACTTTTCATGCTAGGTGCAACGAGTGCTGCATAATTTGAATCCCACTGTGAAAACCTTCACATCTTTTACAGATATTCAGTGTCAAGATGCTACTTGATAATAAACTTTTCTGGGATGGGTTTTCTGCGCTTTCTTTTCTTGGCAATGTTTATTAGTTTTAAAAGACACAATTTTGCACTGTTATCTTGAGTTATGAGATGGGCAGAAGAACCCTTATATTGTTATTGCACTCAAACGCATCAGCAGATCAGATTTTGCTGAAAGCTCATATATACATATCCTCATCACTTTCTGTCGCCTTAAAAACCCTGAGATTAAATCATTTGAGTGACAACGTGGGCGCAAACAGCTTGTGGGCAACACCATTTTAGTGAGTGCCGGGTTGGTGTGTGTGTGTATGTGTGTGTATATGTGTCCTGTTTGCCACGCACTGCCTCTGCAATCAGTATGCAGGTGGCACAGTTGGAACAAAGACAGATAGAGGAGTGTGGCCACCCGCCCACTCCAAGCTGAAAGACAGCGATAAGGAGGAAGAGGCACCCCACATATTCACAGACCGATCCATCTCATCATTAATCCACACTGCTCTTTATTTGGATCAGACCAAATGGGGGAAAACTGGGGAAATACTACATTTGTTTTCCGTCATCTGTTGACATTCCCGTGCCTTAATGCATCTCACTAAGATTGCATTTATTTTCCATTACGTCCTTCCTATATATTGTATCTTATACATGAAAAAGCAGAGTTATTATGAATGGAAATGGTTCTTCAGCCCTCTTTGTTTGAATGTGCGTGTATTCACATACGTGTTCCCTTTGCAAAAACCAAAGGCTCTAGGGATACTTAAAAAGCAATTACTAAGAAATGGGCACACAAGGAACAGCTCTCCATTATCATGCTTCCTGCCTCTCATTGTCTCTTTCTGTCATTTTCAGGTCGCCTTCACTGTGCTGTTTGATTTGGAAGCCCTGCTGAAAATCTGGTGTTTGGGCTTCACTGGCTACATCAGTTCCTCTCTACACAAGTTTGAGTGTCTGCTTGTATTGGGCACCACCCTGCACATCTACCCTGATCTCTACCACTCGCAGTTCACCTACTTCCAGGTTAGAGATTCAAAGAAAATCTAGAACTAGTCATTACTGAAATGTATCGTACAACTACGCAAGCAAACCTGCAACATGTTCCTGAAATCAACTTATGGTGTAGGGTTGGAAGCTTGTGATGTGAGACCAATAAAAACATGCTACATTAAGTAACATCTGATAGTAGAAACTTAGTTTGAGGTGATTTGATTTAATTTCTCATCCACATTGTCATCTGCCAACATGTTACCATGCTAATTTTTAGAAAAAAAGACAAAATACGGTCTCTGTAAATCTCAGATTAGTTTCCAGACATGATTGATTCTGATGGTAACGTTTTGACAAATTACGTTATTTTTACTGAGGCCATGACACGTGCAGCCACAGCATTTGTAAAAGGCTCCTTGCATGAGTGCAGCACCTGCTAGATTCTGAGATGCTAATCATGCACTAATGCAGGGTAATAACACATACTGGTGGCCATGGCGGAGCTATTTTCATACATCTCCAGGCAGCTGCAGGGAATGGGAATGGATGAAGCCCACTCACGTTGACAAGCCTCATTTAGGACACAACCTGCGCTCTCCCTCCAGTTTTCTTTCGGCAGGAGGGGTGGAGCTCCAGCCGTGAATATTCATATCCTCCCCTCATGTCTGGGTTCATTATGAAGCTGCCATAAAAAAGACACATGATTCACCATGAGCAGTCACCATGTTAAATTTGATTTGTAAATAGCATTCTATATTTTTCCATCATTAGTGAAATGAGTCATTGTCGCAAATAGCAATGTCTGGCTTCAAACTCAACTTTTTGAACTTTTTGAACATAATTACTTCTTTGCATTATTGAATGTTCTGTAATAGTTTTTTTACAAACTTGTTTAACTTGTTTACATTTATGTGCTTGAAGATGGTTTTTTCAGTGTGAGTTAGGTACATATTGTATCAGCAACACATACCTGCAAAGTGTGTAACAAGTTGAGGTCATAAATATACATAAACCTTGCAGAATCTGCAAAATGTTCATTCACAAAAATAATTTAATAAGTTCAAGTTCAAGTTCAAGTTCATTTTATTTGTATAGCACATTTACAGCAGCCGCTAGGCTGACCAAAGTGCTTTACAGAAGAGAAATTTATAAAAACATACACAGAAAAGAAGCCAAATATAAATATGAACAACCCATTCAAAAAATTACCAAATAACAGTAATCAATACACTAAGGAAAACAGATAGGTTTTTAGCAGGGACTTAAAGACAGGCAGAGAAGGGGCCATTCTAATTTCTAAAGGCAGGGTATTCCAAAGCCGTGGCCCTGCCACCGCAAATGCACGCTCCCCTCTACGCTTAAGTCTAACATGTGGAACTACCAACAAAGCCTGGTCGCAAGATCTTAGGCTTCTAGATGGAGTGTATAAATGAAGGAGTTCAGAGAGGTAGACAGGAGCTAGGTTATGTAACGATTAAAAACAAAGAGTAGAATTTTGAAGTCTATTCTCTGATGAACCGGCAACCAGTGTAGAGATCTGAGAATTGGAGTAATGTGTTCATGTTTACGACACTTCAGAAGAAGTCTGGCAGCAGCTTATTGGACTAGCTGGAGGCGCGCAATTTGAGATTTAGATATACTGCAATATAAGGAATTGCAGTAATCTAGGCGAGATGTAACAAACGCAGTAATCTAGTCGAGATGTAACAAACGCATGAACAGCCATTTCTAGAGTTTTTGGAGTGAGAGAGTCTCTGATTTTAGACAGTAGACGAAGTTGATAAAAACTGGATCCGATAACGGAGGAGATATGTTTATCAAATTTTAAATGCTGGTCGACAAGAACACCTAGGTTCCGCACCTGTGAAGATCTAAAAACGGATAAACTGTCCAAATCAGGGCATATATACTGAGAAGTCTCATTAGAAACAAAAACAATTACTTCGGTCTTGTCTTCATTCAGGGAGAGAAATTTTTGGGCGAGCCATAATTTAACCTCCTCTAAGCATTGCTGAAGAGAGGTAATCGCTGCGGAATTGTTTCTTTTGATTGGTAGATAGATTTGAGTATCATCTGCGTAGAAATGAAAAGAGACACCATGTTTCCTTAGAATAGAGCCCAGAGGTAACATGTAGAGAGAAAATAGAGAAGGAGCTAATATAGAGCCTTGCAATAGGCCACAGGTCAGAGGTGCATTGGAAGAGGTAGAATTACCCAGCTTCACTAAAAACTTTCTGTCAGACAGGTATGACTGAAACCAATTAAGAACGGTAGCTTTTAGACCCACCCAGGACTCTAGTCTGGATAATAGTGTGGAGTGGTCAACTGTATCAAAAGCGGCCGATAAATCTAAAAGAATAAGAACCACAGAGTCTCCAGAATCAGTGGAGAGATAAATATCGTTTAACACTCTCAAGAGGGCAGACTCAGTGCTGTGAGCGGACTTAAAACCAGATTGAAAAACCTCATAAATACAATTACTTGTCAAAAAATTTTGAAGTTGATCCAGCACAATTTTCTCCAATACCTTAGAAATGAAAGGTAAGACAGAAATTGGCCTAAAATTTTTTAGAACAGAAGAGTCAAGTGAAGGCTTCTTGAGTAGGGGAGTGACTGTAGCCACTTTAAGACTGGCAGGGACAGCGCCAGTTTGGAGACACTTATTGATAAGAGACACCAAACCAGGTCCAATTGAATCAATGATTAATTTTAAGAATCTCGGGTGAATAATATTGTTATAACAAAATGAGGGTTTGAGCTTGTCAATCACCCCCTTCAATGCCTGGAAATTGATAGGTTTGAAACCATCCCAAAAGGCAGAGGCAGATGACAGGGTTGGAGAGAAAGTTAAAGTGGGGCAGACACTAAGTCTTAAGTTAGTAATTTTGTCACTGAAATATCTCAAGAAGCTTTCACAGAGAACATCAGAGGCATCAGGCAAGGAGTTAGTAGAAGGATTTGCAACAGATTGAATAATTGAGAACAAAACCTTAGGTTTAGAGTGATTAATTTCAATTAGATTAGAAAAATATGCAGCTTTAGCAGACTTAACAGCAGTTTGGTAAGATGTAAGTGAGTCTTTAAACATTTGAAGAGAGATATGTAGCCTGTCCTTCTTCCATTTGCGTTCTGCCTTTCTACAGTTTTGTCTTAGAAGACGGGTATGAGAGTTTTGCCACAGATCCGATTTTGGTTTGTGTTTATGAGGCTTAAGGGGGGCAGTCGCATTTGCAACCTTGAGCCAGGCAGAATTTAAAAGGCTAAGATGTTGATCAGCATCCAAGTCAGATAATGGTTGATCCAAGTGCAACTCTGAGCAAAATTCAGCAAAGCACAAGTTGAAATTTGAGCTAAACTGTGGAGAGTAGTACCGAGACAGAGTTACAGGTGTAACAGAAAAATGACAGAGATCCGGAAGAGTCAGTGAAAATAATATAGGCTTATGGTCAGAGAGCATAAAATCTGAGAGCACAATATCAGTCACATCAAACCCATAGGAGAGAACAAGATCCAATGTATGGCCCTGGATATGAGTAGAGTCTTTGATCCACTGGGATAGATTAAAAGCATCAATAAGATTAAGAAAATCATGCGATAGGGGGTTAGACGTACAGCAGACATGGATATTAAAATTGCCCACCAGTAGAAAGCGATCATAATTAGTGACAATATTGCCAATAAGTTCAGTGAATTGCTGTATAAAATCCTTAGTAGAGTGAGGAGGACGGTAAATCACCCCTAAACAAACCGGACCATTCCAGTCTAATTGAAGAAGCTGAGCTTCAAAACTGGAAAAGGCCGTTACAGGGACCAACCGACAGCGTGCAGAGAGAGAGTTATTTAAAATTGTTACTATCCCACCCCCGCGTCCACTCAGACGAGGAGAGTTAAAAAATGTACAGTCAGCAGGGACCAGATCTGAGAAAGGAGTTAGATCACCAACCTTTATCCAGGATTCCGTGATAAACATAAAATCCAAGTTATGAGATGAGTAGAAGTCATTTAGTAAAAAGGTCTTGTTCACCAAGGAACGGGCATTTATTAATGCCATCTTCGGTGAGGGAATAGTAACAGGAGATGAGGACGTTCTTCTCAGTGGGCGGAGATTACCGTGAGTTACTCCTTGTCGCCGGGAGCCGCGGCCGATTCAATTAAGAACGGTAGCTTTTAGACCCACCCAGGACTCTAGTCTGGATAATAGTGTGGAGTGGTCAACTGTATCAAAAGCGGCCGATAAATCTAAAAGAATAAGAACCACTGAGTCTCCAGAATCAGTGGAGAGATAAATATCGTTTAACACTCTCAAGAGGGCAGACTCAGTGCTGTGAGCAGATTTAAAACCAGATTGAAAAACCTCATAAATACAATTACTAGTCAAAAAATGTTGAAGTTGATCCAGCACAATTTTCTCCAATACCTTAGAAATGAAAGGTAAGACAGAAATTGGCCTAAAATTTTTTAGAACAGAAGAGTCAAGTGAAGGCTTCTTGAGTAGGGGAGTGACTGTAGCCACTTTAAGACTGGCAGGGACAGCGCCAGTTTGGAGACACTTATTGATAAGAGACACCAAACCAGGTCCAATTGAATCAATGATTAATTTTAAGAATCTCGGGTGAATAATATCGTTAGAACAAAATGAGGGTTTGAGCTTGTCCTTCAATGCCTTCAATGCCTGGAAATTGATAGGTTTGAAAGCATCCCAAAAGGCAGAGGCAGATGACAGGACAGTTAAAGATTTTGTCACTGAAATATCTCAAGAAGCTTTCACAGAGAACATCAGAGGCATCAGGCAAGGAGTTAGTAGAAGGATTTGCAACAGATTGAATAATTGAGAACAAAACCTTAGGTTTAGAGTGATTAATTTCAATTAGATTAGAAAAATATGCAGCTTTAGCAGACTTAACAGCAGTTTGGTAAGATGTAAGTGAGTCTTTAAACATTTGAAGAGAGATATGTAGCCTGTCCTTCTTCCATTTGCGTTCTGCCTTTCTACAGTTTTGTCTTAGAAGACGGGTATGAGAGTTTTGCCACAGATCCGATTTTGGTTTGTGTTTATGAGGCTTAAGGGGGGCAGTCGCATTTGCAACCTTGAGCCAGGCAGAATTTAAAAGGCTAAGATGTTGATCAGCATCCAAGTCAGATAATGGTTGATCCAAGTGCAACTCTGAGCAAAATTCAGCAAAGCACAAGTTGAAATTTGAGCTAAACTGTGGAGAGTAGTACCGAGACAGGGTTACAGGTGTAATAGAAAAATGACAGAGATCCGGAAGAGTCAGTGAAAATAATATAGGCTTATGGTCAGAGAGCATAAAGTCTGAGAGCACAATATCAGTCACATCAAACCCATAGCAGAGAAAAAGATCCAATGTATGGCCCTGGATATGAGTAGAGTCTTTGATCCAATGGGATAGATTAAAAGCATCAATAAGATTAAGAAAATCATGCGATAGCGGGTTAGACGTGCAGCAGACATGGATATTAAAATCGCCCACCAGTAGAAAGCGATCATAATTAGTGACAATATTGCCGATAAGTTCAG